TTGAAAGAGACTATTTTAAAATAATTAGTTCCCAAAGACACACACGAGCAACACCCGTGCCTGACAGTCAAGAACCAGGGAAAATACAGTGCGCAGAGCGCTGAGCATGTGAACGGAGCAATCGCTTGCTGCTGTTATTATAATAGCTAGATCCATGCTTGCAGCCCGTGCAAAGCTTGCACTCACTCACAGCCGCTAACAACAACCAGAGCGGCCACGGAGGAGGCCATCTCACACGCAGCATTCTGCTTGTTTTACTGTTTCTCCTTCCTTGTTTGACGTTACTGTGACTTGCGTTTGATTTTTATTCATACCACTTTTTGATTGTTTTCTAGCGGCCTGTAAGACTTATTATGAGACGGTTCGCAGGAGCCATCAATATGCCAAGCCAGAAAACTCATTGCGGGCGGACGTTGCGAAGAGTTCAGCTCAGAGTCAAGTGAGAAGAGGGTAAGACTAAACTGCATCGCACAGTAAGGCAAGGGAGGTTTATTTGTGTAGCACAATTCATACACAAGGAAACTCAAAGTGCTGAACAAAAGAAAGCATTAAATAATCACAGTACATCAACAAAGATAAATATAAAATACCTCAGTTGTAGCACAGCTAAACCAAACGGTTTTTAACCTGGTTTTAAACATTGTCAGAGAGGAGCTGTCACTTTAGCTGTGCTACAACTGAGGTATTTTATATTTATCTTTGTTGATGTACTGTGATTATTTATTTTAATGCTTTCTTATTTTGCTCAGCACTTCGAGTTGCCTTGTGTATGAATTGTGCTAGACAAATAAACTTGCCTTACCATCGTACTTGAGTGAAATTGAGTGATCACATGTGATTATGTGATCAAAGGGGAGGGTGTTAGTATTAGATAGCAATATGGCCTACGTGCAGGACTGTACAAGGACTCTACAAGGACTCCATGTTATGACTCTGATGTGACTGTCTCTTTGTGACACGTATGTCTTTCCATGTGTGACGTGACAATGACTATATAAACTGTGTACTGCCTTTATTCTGTCTGAGAGAAAGAAACAAAGTAAACCAGTGGAACTTGAGAGAAACGTAAATAAACTTCCAGAGTTTGGCACACCACGATCCGTCTCTGTCTGCTTAAATCCTAACACTGGTTCTGGTCAGGACTTGAGCTGCTGCATTTTGAATGTACTGCAGCTGTTGTTGCAGTAGTCTAACCTACTGGAGACAAATGCATGGATAAGAATCTCCAGGTCTGCTTTATACACAATGTTTAGATGGAAAAAAGGATTTGATTTGGCTAATAATATTTACTGATTCTTTCAGCTGCTGGAATCAAGACTGAGTGTGCTAGAAAGTGACAAAGTGGAACTCTGGAAGTCCGCCACGGTAGACCTAATGTCCAATGAAGAAGAAGGCGTTGTGGACAGTGTCTCTGGGTGGATTGTGCAGTCACCGTCTTTTCGAAAGCCGGAGTTTTCTGAACTCTGTCAAGCTGCAGTCCTGGTTAGAGGCGGCGCGGAAGTACAGAGCCACGCACATTAAGCGTCTATCTAGAACCCTGTCAAATTACAACCCCGAGGAGGCTATTGGACAGTTCAGAGTTGTAATTTTTTAATTACCTGTGTAAGGTTAAAACGGAGGACAGGGCCGGCCGGGCCTGTCTTCTCTGTGAACCATTGACAAAATGGAGATAATACCTCACCACAACTTCAAAGGAACCATGGGGTTCAGCCACAGGAGCAGCATCCATCATGAGGATTACAGACGCCAGACGGACCAATAAAACAGCGGGATACCCATCTGGTGCCTTTTTCATGTCAACAGAGAAGCTGATAAAAATCAGCATTGTCACCCACAAATGCATCCCACGGACCAAGGGGTCCACCCGCGGCCCTCTGGCGCCCCCTAGCGGACACTGGACGCTACCGCACCCAAGACGGACACTCAAAAGGGACATTACTCAATGATATTAACGTTACGGACCTTACTCGTGTGTTTAATGTCTGTGATGTAAATGCACTGTGTGTTTGTACATGTGTTGTGATCATTCGCATCAATCCTGTGTGTTTCCTTTGCAAAATGTCCGTTGTGAAGGGTTCTGTCCACAGAGAGGGAAGGCATGGACACGCCCCCTTTAGAAGTCAATATAAACTCTCACAATGCCATTGTACTGCCTCTTGTCTTCTCCTGAAATCACTATCGCAACCTCCCTATCGACTCTGCGGCAGCACAAGTACGTGCCTCCAGCAACGACTGTGCCCGTCCGCATCGAGACTTTCCCTTTCAAGCAAACCTATTTTCTGGTTGGGATTTATGAACTCTTCATAACCAGCCGGCCCTGGCTCTGGACTCTGCGCACGTGACTCATTCCGGACTGAGTGTGCACGCCTGGATCCAAAGTTGGACTGCCGTCGCTGGCTTCATAACTCCCGCCTGCCCGGACAAAGAAACCACGTGGACGACATCGCCTCCACCCTATTCTTCATTCTCATCCTCCACTCCATCCTCATCCCAGTCACCCATCTCCCTCTGAACGGCTCAAAGTATATGTATATGTGTACAACTCCTGCTTTTAATGTGACCAGAAATCCCTTTTCGTTATATTTTTATCCCACTTTGTAATCAATAAACCCCTTTTCTTTAACTCAACCCCATCAGAGTCGTGTTGTTAGATCTCGGTATATCCCTGGCCGATTTACGAATTAACTACCTTTTGATTATAAGACTGACTCGAGGCAAAGTTGGTTTTGGATCTGTGCAGACCTTTTCAACTCTGCTGGTGCCCTAAAATTAAAACAGATCCCCCACTCGAATAGGACGGCCAGCCTCTGACTTGGAGACTAGCCGTACTATTCTGCTCATAACATAATCTGTAGTATTATTACCCTACATATATGGTACCCTGTTTGTGAGATCCGCGCACATAAGACCAGATTTATCAACTCGTACTCTGTGATTTGATCTGCAATACGCTACCTGAAGCTCTGCTCACGCTCCAAGCGCTCTCCCCCACCTCCTCACCCCCACATCCCTGCTACCTCCGTTGCTATAGTGACTTCAACGACAATCGAGCGCCCCTACGCCCCACGCTTGCGATAAAAGCGTCTCGTGCATGCACCAGACTATTAATTTGGGTGCGTACCGATGTTCCCCGGGTCCGATGTTCCCCCACTTCTATAGGCGGGGGAACATCGGACCCGGGGAACATCGGTACTTCGCGTATTAAAAAGTCCCGATGTTCCCCGGGTCCGATGTTCCCCCACTTCTATAGGCGGGGGAACATCGGACCCGGGGAACATCGGTACTTCGCGTATTAAAAAGTCCCGATGTTCCCCGGGTCCGATGTTCCCCCGCCTATAGAAGTGGGGGAACATCGGGACTTCAACAACGAGACTAGTCCCGCTGTTCCCCGCGTGCGCCCGTTGATGTTTGATGTTTCCTCCTCCACGAAAGATGGCATATGATCCGTGCCAACTTTTGTGAGAGAAAAAAATACTAACTAGCCTAAGCCTATTTACTTTTCTTTTTCCCTCTCGCTCTTTGTGTGCTCATATTTCAGCTGATCGCAGCTTGAGTCTATGCAGGATATTTTTGGGCATGTTATGGGCATGTTATCTCCCCTTGCTCACTCTCCCATGGGCATCTATATTTGACAAGTCTGACTGAATAAAATGAGGACGATTGAAACTAGAGCTACTACATCTGTTAGCCTATAGTTTTTCCAAATACGTGGTTTTGCTGAGGGCACTGTGCTTTTACGCATAATGGACACGCATATGACGTCGTTTTTGTTGTAAAACTTGAATATGCTCTTTTAGTTTTAGAGATATTAATACATATTATTCTATTCAGAATGCGTGCGTCATTGTGCATTGTTGTCCCGCCTTACGTGTCACTCACAGTTAAAATGTAAATAACCAATTCAAACATAGCATTTTTACAACTTGAGCTTTAAGAAAAAAATGATCAAAGGAATCAGTGTAAAATAAGATCGGAAAAGCTCAATTCATGATTGTTTAATTAGGTTTCCCATTTTTAAATACAATTGGAAACGCTCAGAATTCAAAAATATTGAAAAGTGTATTGGCTCCTACAGTGGGGGGAATAATAATAATAATATAACCCCCTGAGCGTCATCACGTTCCTACGTTGCTTCAAGTCCTGTTTATTGGCTGAACAATTTTGTCCAATATCATATCACACAGCGTGAAGCGAGAACAACAGCTATTCCTCGTCTTAAAGATTGACAACGCTCTCAAAGCATTCACAACAGAGCAGCCTTTTTCATTTTAATTTTAAGAAAGTTCAGCGTGAACTTTGTGAGGTAGAGTCAAGCCCCGGCGATCCAAGATGGCGCCCTATTCAAATGAATGGTTGTGCTCAGTGGCGCTTTGTGACGGCATGGGGGCTGAAAGATTAGCGGAAGTCGCCTGGAACTCGCAAAGATCTATGGGAAAGTCGCCTGTATTTGGGCATCGTCTGGTCCTCCCGGTTCTGCGCAGTGGATGATCTCCCATAATGCGTTGCGCCAAACACGCGTGTGTGGGTCTCACACCGGGTCTCACGCACGTGCACAGAGGGGCTCGGCCGCGCTCTGACCAATCAGAGCAGTTCATCAGAGCGGGAGTTAGAGCGAGAGCCAGAGGAGCAGAGTTTGTGGCACTAAAGTGTGGATTTAAACAAAACCGAAGGATTTAAGAAGAAAAAAAGTTCAGGACGACAAGGGACACTAACATCCCCACAAAATCTGATCTTTATGAAAGCTGTAGGTTCTCTTTCAGCTGAGGTTGAGCTGTTTTAATATGCATTGAGTTCTATGGGGAAAATTTCTGGGTGGCCCACGTGAATTTAGTCTGGTTTAGTCTGCAGTACCGCGAGAATCCCCTGAGCACGTGAGTTATTCAGCTACAAGCTAGTAATACCCTATCCAGTTAATATAATACATCCATGGGTAGAGTAGCCAGAGGCCCGGGCCCATAGGTCCCAGAGGAGGAGGGTCAGGCCAGGCTGGCCTCGCACTGATGAGGTAAACTCTAGGCCTGTGTGAGACACACTGTGGGCCTCACTGTAGGCCTCACTGTGGGCCTCACTGTGGGCCTCACTGTGGGCCTCACTGTGGGCCTCATGTATGAAACCTGCGTACGGCCAAATCAGGGTAAATGAGGCGTACGCAAAATATTACACTTTTCCGCATTTATCTATCTGGACGTGAGCGTACAATACGCACAAAATATACGCCAGGTCTGGAGGTGGTGTAAATCTATACGCTGATCTCAACCTTCGGCACAACACGCCAAAACACGCATGAAATTCAAGATATGTACAACAATAAACATATTCCCTCTGGCAACATTATATGCTGTGTTTTCATTGAGGATCATGTTTCAAAATTTGAATTTGCGCATCAGAAAAAGTCTAATGGAAACACGCAAACTTCGAATAAATCACAGCTCATGATGAGGACCCTCCATTAAATCTGACTTGTGTGTGTCTTATTTTGATCTGTATGTTTTTAAAATGTGAAGCGCTTTGTGATCCTGGACAGTCAAAGGCTCTATATAAATACACTTTACGCAACAGGGATGTGTGACCTATTGCTGTGGCAGGCTCTGCGCTGCGTAATTACGCACGGCTATTTGTATTCCTCATTCACATCTAAAGCAATGTGTTATTTCATTAGATTTGTGTAACCCTCACACAGACACACACCCCAATAACGCATCGATGGTATTGCTCACTCAAATGTCTCACTGCCCTGTCCAGAGTGCGCAGCGAGTGCCGTGAGAGGTCGCGCCACATGTGCAGAAGTTTTGGCTCCAGAGTTTCTTTGTGAAATCTGGACAAACGCTCTCTGAAGTGTACAGTGCCTCATGCGCACTTCTACCCCGAGCCAGGCTGCGTCCAAGACGCTGCAGACGCTTCATTCAGAGCCACCGCTGCATAATATATATGAATTATTCATTCATTCAATCAATCTATATTTATTCACTTCTACAATTCAAGACGGATTTTTCTAATGTATCAAAACATTTTGGCAAATTGCGTAAATGGAATATACACCCAAAATGTACATCTTTTTCAACGCAAGTTTCATAAATGAGCTTGTGTGTATGTGCGCGCGTGAGTGCATGTGTGTGCGTGTGTGCGTTTGAACCATATTCTTTGAAACCCCAATTCCAGTTAGCCTTTGTAGTTTGCAAGCGAATTTGGCCTACTTACTAATCTGCAGGCCTACCCAAAATAGACTAGTTATGAGCGAAAGCCGCTTGTTGCTCCATTATCCGCGCGCAGCAATAACATGTCTATGAGCGAGGCCCGCAGTCGGGGAACACCGGGCCCTCCGGCGTTTGGAAGGTCCGATGAAGGTCCGGACCCGGGGAACACCGGACCCGTGGAACACCGGACCCGTGGAACACCGGACCCGTGGAACACCGGACCCGGGGAACACCGGACCCGGGGAACACCGGACCCGGGGAACTCCGGACCCGGGGAACACCGGACCCGTGGAACACCGGACCCGGGGAACACCGGACCCGTGGAACACCGGACCCGGGGAACACCGGACCCGTGGAACACCGGACCCGTGGAACACCGGACCCGGGGAACACCGGACCCGTGGAACACCGGACCCGGGGAACTCCGGACCCGGGGAACATGGGACCCGGGGAACACCGGACCCGGGGAACACCGGACCCGGGGAACCACCGGACCCGGGAACACCGGACCCGGGGAACACCGGACCCGGGAACACCGGACCCGGGGAACGGACCGGGGAACCCGGGAACACCGGACCCGGGGAACACCGGACCCGGGAACACCGGACCCGGGGAAACCGGACCGGGGAACACCGGACCCGGGGAACACGGACCGGGGAACACCGGACCCGGGGAACACGACCGGGACCGGACCGGACCGGGGAACACCGGACCCGGGGAACACCGGACCGGGGAACACCGGACCCGGGGAACACCGGACCCGGGGAACACCGGACCCGGGGAACCACGGACCGGGAACACCGGACCGGGGAACTCCGGACCCGGGGAACACCGGACCCGGGGAACACCGGACCCGGGGAACACCGGACCCGGGAACACCGGACCCGGGGAACACCGGACCCGGGGAACACCGGACCGGGAACACCGGACCCGGGGAACACCGGACCCGGGAACACCGGACCCGGGGAACACCGGACCCGGGGAACACCGGACCCGGGGAACACCGGACCCGGGGAACACCGGACCCGGGGAACACCGGACCCGGGGAACACCGGACCCGGGGAACACCGGACCCGGGAAAGACCCGGGACCCCGGGGAACACCGGACCCGGGGAACACCGGACCCGGGAACACCGGACCCGGGGAACACCGGACCCGGGGAACACCGGACCCGGGGAACACCGGACCCGGGGAACACCGGACCCGGGGAACACCGGACCCGGGGAACACCGGACCCGGGGAACACCGGGACCCCGGGAACACGGACCGGGAACACCGGACCCGGGGAACACCGGACCCGGGGAACACCGGACCCGGGGAACACCGGACCCGGGGAACACCGGACCCGGGGAACACCGGGACCCGGGGAACACCGGACCCGGGGAACACCGGACCCGGGGAACACCGGACCCGGGGAACACCGGACCCGGGGAACACCGGACCCGGGGAACACCGGACCCGGGGAACACCGGACCCGGGGAACTCCGGACCCGGGGAACACCGGACCCGTGGAACACCGGACCCGGGGAACTCCGGACCCGGGGAACACCGGACCCGGGGAACACCGGACCCGGGGAACACCGGACCCGGGGAACACCGGACCCGGGGAACACCGGACCCGGGGAACACCGGACCCGGGGAACACCGGACCCGGGGAACACCGGACCCGGGGAACACCGGACCCGGGGAACACCGGACCCGGGGAACACCGGACCCGGGGAACACCGGACCCGGGGAACACCGGACCCGGGGAACACCGGACCCGGGGAACATCGGGCCGACCCCCTCATTTTATTCTCAAATCCCGGCTTGTACTGGGTACTACACATTCTCTCCAACGTTTTGCCCTGTCTAGGCCAGTCAGGCAGCGTGAGTCTGTGAAAGTCGCTTCCCTCTGAAGAGAAAGCGCAAAACCTTATTCTTATAACTCCACTGTACACCGTGTCCAGAACACGGGCGTACGGATCTACTCTGTGTCCCTTTGTGACCCAAGTCACACAGGATTTTAACCGAGTATATCTGTGTAAAAGGCTGTAAATGGCAGCTGTGTGAATGTGATGCTGTTGTTCTGCTAAAGGTGGCTAACGCTAACTCTGTCTCACCACTTTCTCCTGCTACTCTGCTGTTGGACATACACACACCAAGACTGTACTGCACAATACAGACAAACACCATCCCACCACTGTGATTACGTGCTTGTGCGAACTGTATAACTCGCTCCAGACTTTCGTTGTATAAACTACTGCTTAAACGTTCCACGCTCGAAAGCTAATGGCTAGCTACCCTCCTTTGTTCTAGCATAAGGCTAACTTCCGCCCGGGCCCCGCTAGCCTCAAAGCTAACTCTGACAACGCCGTTGCTCCTACTACTGCTCCCACTATACGCTGCTTCTCTACCGTTAAAACTAGTGCCACTCTGTTTAACCGAACTGCATTCGGTCACCAAAACTCATTGTTTATTGCCTAAACTGCTGCTAAAATGTCCCGTTGCCGGCAAGCTACATGCTAGCTACGCTCCTTTGTTTTTAGCATACGGCTAACTTCCGGCCCTGGCGCGCTAAAAGCCAGAGCCGCATCCCCACTGCTAATACCATTCTGCTGCATTGTCTACCTGTTGTCTAACAATAACACCACTTACTATACTTGCATACTACCCTATCTCACTCTGATTCTGTGTTCTGACGATCATAAGGCGCCAGCCGTCTCGGCACACTGCTAAACGAGCCGCACCTCTTTTATTGTCTAACACAAAATTGCTTTCCGGTCCCGGCACTACTTCCGGGACCACATTGCTGCTGTCTTGACACTTCATTCTGCACCACGTCTTTAATCATCTGTGAATGTGGCTCTAACGTGAAACGGCTTTGCTATACCTCCGTGCTGTTTTGTTACTCCAACTCAATAACCACATTACTGCCATACATTGGTAAAGCTAACACTCTGTTCCTGTTTCTCCTCTTTAACGTTATTGTAGTAACTAATCATATGCCGTGTTTCTGCTTCACGGATTCCTGCTGCATGTCATATTGTTATTAAAACACATTACTGCTATAACAACAGCTAACACTCTGTTTCTGCTTCTCCTCTTAAGCATAATTGTTAGGCTACATTACTGCATTGACCAAGTTTCATACTGTAACTCTGCTACTTCTAGCGCATGTTGCTATTAGAACACATTACTGCTATACATAACAAAAGCTAACACTCTGTTTCTGCTTCTCCTCTTAAACATAATTGTTAAGCTACATTACTGCATTAGCCAAGGTTAATGCTGTAAACTCCGCTCTCCTTCTGCTGCATGTCGCTGGTGATACGCATTCTATGCTTTATTCCTGCTCACTCACTACTGCTAGTTTACAGTAACACATCTGTGTGGTGATTTAACAAACACTGCACTCCCACACACCCCCGCCCCCCTCCTTGCCACTGATAATAACACATTGCTGTGGTAACTAATCCGATTCTGTACTTCTGCTCCTGCATGATGCGCGTTATCGTTCAACCACATCGGCGTGTGATCTGACAGATACTGCACTCCCACCTAGTGGTGAAACTAACACTCTACTCTGCCAAACTCTATGTTTGATCGTACTACATCAAAACTAATACTCTATTTCTAACCCTCACTGTCACTAAAATTGCATTGCCTTGCCTCTGCCTGCTGCCTTTTTGCTACTGCTTACTTGAGCTGCGTCTAAAGCTACGCCGCGGCCCAAAACGCAAGTGCGTACCAAACGCAAGTGCGTCCGAAACGTAAGTGCGTCCGAAACGCAAGTGCGTCCAAAACGCAAGTGCGACAACAAACGCAAGTGCGTCCCCAAACGCAAGTGCGACAACAAACGCAAGTGCGACAACAAACGCAAGTGCGTCCCCAAACGCAAGTGCGACCCAAACGCAAGTGCGACCCAAACGCAAGTGCGACCCAAACGCAAGTGCGTCCGAAACGTAAGTGCGTCCGAAACGCAAGTGCGTCCAAAACGCAAGTGCGACAACAAACGCAAGTGCGTCCCCAAACGCAAGTGCGACAACAAACGCAAGTGCGACCCAAACGCAAGTGCGACCCAAACGCAAGTGCGACCCAAACGCAAGTGCGACCCAAACGCAAGTGCGACCCAAACGCAAGTGCGACCCAAACGCAAGTGCGTCCCCAAACGCAAGTGCGACAACAAACGCAAGTGCGATCCAAACGCAAGTGCGAGACCAAACGCAAGTGCGAGACCAAACGCAAGTGCGACACCAAACGCAAGTGCGAGACCAAACGCAAGTGCGACCCAAACGCAAGTGCGACACCAAACGCAAGTGCGACCCAAACGCAAGTGCGACCCAAACGCAAGTGCGAGACCAAACGCAAGTGCGACCCAAACGCAAGTGCGACCCAAACGCAAGTGCGACACCAAACGCAAGTGCGACCCAAACGCAAGTGCGACCCAAACGCAAGTGCGACACCAAACGCAAGTGCGACCCAAACGCAAGTGCGACCCAAACGCAAGTGCGACACCAAACGCAAGTGCGACACCAAACGCAAGTGCGTCCTAAGCAGGTGTGTCTCCCACGCAGGTGCATCTCACGCTGCGTCTCTTACGCCGCGTCTACCGCTGCGGATTAACGCCGCGCCCTAATACTGCTGCTGCCGCTGGCGCCACTGGTAACCCTACGTGCGCCAACGCCACTAACCCCAACGCTCTCCGCTGACACACAGGTGAAGAAGTACTAACGCCCGGCCCCTGCCCTAGGCCGCCTACTCGCATACACCGCCACACGGAGAGGACGCTGTAGTCACGGTTTCGACACACACCAAGGTCTACACCACCACACGACCAACAGCTAAACTACCCTCTCTATAGCACTGCTTTCCTCCTTTCCCTCCTCCCACCGTGTCGTACACACACGTTCCAAGTCATACTCGCATACACTCACCCACACAAATATGGAAATCGATGGCGGAAACTCGCCACGACCAAGCAAGCACGACGGTGTCTCAGAAGGTCACGACATAGTGGATAACTTTCTGCGAGACCTCACCGAGAAGTTATTCCCAGGGGGCTACGACACGCTTGAGCACAGCTCACTCTCTGACTTACAAGATGCTACCTCCATATTAGCATCCGAAGCTACTACGACGAAACTCCAAGGTAAGACCCTAACCCAGTGGCTAGGACGACTGGCCATAATCTCCAGGATAACCTTGCGCGACTCCGAAGCCCAGAAAGCAAGGCTCCAAAACACAGTGAGTGACCTGGAACGACAACTGGCGGAAACTAGGAAATCCGCCGCGACCCGCTTACAACAAATCCAACAGGTAAGTAGGGACCACCAACAGGGACTGAGCATGACTCCAAGCGCGACCATGGATCTTGATCGCGCAGCGGAAATCAGGACCGCTATTTTGAACGGAACCAGCCGTGACAGTACCTCCGGCCCACACTCCCCTCGCTCCGACCGCGGCGAACCATCGTCCAACTGTGAACGCAGGAGCGTGGCCGAACTGGTAAGTATCATGACGGGAAAGGACCAAAATCAAGGTCATAGGAACAATACACAACCCAACATTGGACACGTCGACCACTGCGACCCCCACGACGCCCCTCCGGGAACACACATGGACATGCGACACAGACAACATGACTATCCGACCCATGACCCCGGCCCACCTGACGTCCATACGAGACATGTTTCAGACCGCAGCCATTGGGACGAAAGGGCCCGCCCTCAACATAGCGGACAAACCTACAACGACCCCCCTGGCCCACATCTGAACATGCTACATGGACCACACGACTTACGGTGCCCCAAGCCTGGGCCGTCCGCATATGCTGCGACACAATGGCCAGTGACCCGCGATGGGAACGCCGGGGACCTCCCCAAACATGGAGGACAACCCCACGGCAACCCCCCTGACGCACGCCAGGACTTAACCCTAGGCCAACGGGACTACCCGGACTGGGGGGGGACGGCCCCCGACCCCGACAGGTCGGACTTAGCCTCCCTCCGACACGACAACCCCACACTTGAACGCCCCTTCGACGTCATGATCGACACGACGCTCGGAACCCCCGGCCGTGATGAAGGAATACTGCCGATACGCCATGGGCTGTTAGATTCTGCTTCCGATACACTCACTTCGTCGGTACTCGTGGTGCCTCGAAGCATGAGGAAACAAACAGGTATAAACAACACACGTCAGGCACTACAACAGGTAGAAACAACGGACCGAACGGCGACCGAAATACTAAGGTACGTATCCCCAAACCGGAGTGACGAGAACGTGAAACTCCCCCGGCTCCTGAGGACAAACCAATACAGGACCGACCCGCAGGACCACCTCCAGGTCAAAAACCAGGTATGGTATTACACCTTGGCACATTCCCCAGGACACGTGGGAACCGGCCCCACCAGACTACGCCGGAAACCGCGACCCCGCTGGTCAAGACCATACAGGGTGGGAAACAAACTCTCAACCGCAGTGCACCAAATCGAGGTCACAAAAGGTAGAGAGCCCACCCTCAGATGGGCCCGTTACAGCCAAACCAAACCACACAAACAAAGCCCCATGGGACAAGCAGGGCACACTTCAAACCCCAGTTAGGAACACACCACGTGACCTCAAACACGATTAGCCCAGCACTCTTCTCGGCTGCACTAATCGACTCTCCCTTTCTCTGTCTCTGTCTAACCCCTAACAGTTGTTTCACGCCTTGCAGAACATGTGGCCCACTTTCCTTCTCGTGCTGACCTGCATACTGGGTCTCGGCACCCCAGAAATTATTGAGACCGGACCAGCCTCCGGGATCGTTTTAAAGGAACAACCCGGGCTCCTCATCACGGATGTCCGACTCCACACACAGCGAATCTTTGTCAGACTCAATCCTAGTAAAGTCTGCCGCAAGAACCTGCCCTTGAAGGTCACACTCAAAGATTGGGCAGGTGCACGCTGGACCCAGACGGTCGTGGAACATGCTGAGGCAGACATACAACACATGCTGACGCAACTAGAGAAGTTCACGATCACTAGGACAGAGCTCAGTGACCCTCGCCCCAGACCCAAACGATTTATTGGGGCTCTCCTCGGCGCGGCGTCCGCCCTGGGCACCCTCTTTAGCTTAGGGATGTCCACGGTAAACGCCATCAGCCTATCCTCCCTCAGACGTCACCAACAAGAAATGGCCTCTGAGCTCGAGGATGTCAAAACCAGACTTGACCAACAACAGAACGACGTGGTGACCTTGGGAAAGTCCCTGAAAGGAACCATGCTAGTACTTAACACGCACGAGGTTGCGATTAAACGCACCTCCGCTGCGGTCAACCAACTCTTAGACGTCCTCCAACTAGACTACGCCCATACTCAGCTGACCACACAACTGATGGAGGACATGTTACGTCACCTCAGCTCCTCCATCGAAAATCTAGCCATGGGCCGTATCCCGCCATACCTCGTGCCGCTATCGCTAGTCGAGGACATCCTAGCCGTAGCCACACGGGACGCTGTAACACCCATGCAAGCCCACTTAGCGTACACGCTGGGCGCTGCAGTCCCCATCTATGTTAATCCTCTAGACCGCGAGGTAGCCTTCCTAGTCACCTTGCCAATAGTTCCCGGCGACAAAATCTACCGACTGAAAGGGATCACTAACCTAGGGACCTGGAGGGACAATGCCCACCTCAGAGTCCAGACGCCAGACATAGTAGCCTACCACGACAGCAACCCCAATTTGTACCTAACGCCAAATCTAAGGATGTGCACCCTCACTAAGGACATCCATTACCTCTGCCCCAGCAAACCTTTCGTCAGGGACAGCACAGATGGCATCTGCGGCCTGAGGCCCATGACTCCAGGGAGTCGATGCCCCGCGACGGTCACCTCTCGGAAGCAAATAACCGAAACCAGAGCAGAGATTGTAGGGGCACGATGGCTAGTGAACACTCTCCTTAGAACGGCGACCCTGACCTATGACAAACATGACACCTCGTCTCGAGTAAGCCTCCCGGACGAAACCTTTTGGGTCGATGTCCCGGCCGACGCCATCCTGCACGTAGGCGACCTGGCACTATACCACCTGTACCCAAACCAGTACGAGGCGGAGGTCGAGGTACCAGAGTTCTTTGAGAAAAGGGCCTTGGAACTTCAACCCTCCACCCTCGTCCAAGCCACCTACGAGGGGGCACAAACCGTTGACGTTACGGTCGTAGACAACCTCCTTCAAGAGATTGCCAAGCGACCGACCATCCACCACCAACCAGTAGCCTACTCCTGGGCCGCCCCCGATACAGTCATGGCCATCGCGGTAGGACTCGGGTACGGCCTGGCCGTAGCCACGGTCTTCGTCCTAAATAGACGGGTTAGACGACTCCGTGATAGCTTTAACAGGTGCACGGAGGCAATGACGAGACAGATCCGTAGACGACCAAACCGGGGCGACAGCGCCGTCGAGCGTGGCAATTTGAGTCGGCGTCCCCAGGTCAACGAGTCAGAGTACGAGGACCTCCAAAGTCACCCACTCGAGACAGTCACTCTTTCTATCACGGAAGGTGAACCAAGGGCCTAAAACCCCACTAAGAGTCACCAGCTCAGATCCAAACATATCTACCTCAATACCTAATCAGTCTCTTAGACAATCATACCTGTCGTCCCCGTTTATATACAGGAAATGTCCCTCGTAATTAAAGCCCCACTTGCTACGTCATATATTCGTGTAACCCTTACACTCCCCTTTTAGAACGAGCAAGATGGGAACCCCTCACCATCGAGTGCCTTAATGACGCTCCTACCCGCTGCCAAGACAGCCACCCTTTTTGATTTTTGAAGTTTCCTATTTTTGTATCCTAGTCCCCTAAAGTAGAAACTCCTGCTAATCTCTTGGCTTGGAACTTTGAGTCTTCCAGACCAAGAGACCCAGGAGCCAGGCGCACCGGCCCAAACCTTAGAGTTCACGGCCGGAGCTCACTCCCTAAAACCCCTGATCCCGGTTAGAACTAGCCTGCAGGGCCAGGACTCGCCTTAGAGTAAACCCGGCCTCGACAAACCAAGCCAGAGGCCCGAGACCCAACCGCTACGAGCCTGGCCCCAGTTACGCGCTTGCGAGCTACTGAGTCACATTTGAGACGGGAATGTTGTAACATGTCACCACAAATTGTACACTAACACCCGAACAGGCGAGACGACCGACTGAGGACAACCTCACGGCATATCCGACATGACATGCACCTTGTCGGAAGGTGCATCTCTGCCGTGGGGGGGGTATGTAAGGTTAAAACGGAGGACAGGGCCGGCCGGGCCTGTCTTCTCTGTGAACCATTGACCAAATGGAGATAATACCTCACCACAACTTCAAAGGAACCATGGGGTTCAGCCACAGGAGCAGCATCCATCATGAGGATTACAGACGCCAGACGGACCAATAAAACAGCGGGATACCCATCTGGTGCCTTTTTCATGTCAACAGAGAAGCTGATAAAAATCAGCATTGTCACCCACAAATGCATCCCACGGACCAAGGGGTCCACCCGCGGCCCTCTGGCGCCCCCTAGCGGACACTGGACGCTACCGCACCCAAGACGGACACTCAAAAGGGACATTACTCAATGATATTAACGTTACGGACCTTACTCGTGTGTTTAATGTCTGTGATGTAAATGCACTGTGTGTTTGTACATGTGTTGTGATCATTCGCATCAATCCTGTGTGTTTCCTTTGCAAAATGTCCGTTGTGAAGGGTTCTGTCCACAGAGAGGGAAGGCATGGACACGCCCCCTTTAGAAGTCAATATAAACTCTCACAATGCCATTGTACTGCCTCTTGTCTTCTCCTGAAATCACTATCGCAACCTCCCTATCGACTCTGCGGCAGCACAAGTACGTGCCTCCAGCAACGACTGTGCCCGTCCGCATCGAGACTTTCCCTTTCAAGCAAACCTATTTTCTGGTTGGGATTTATGAACTCTTCATAACCAGCCGGCCCTGGCTCCGGACTCTGCGCACGTGACTCATTCCGGACTGAGTGTGCACGCCTGGATCCAAAGTTGGACTGCCGTCGCTGGCTTCATAATTCCCGCCTGCCCGGACAAAGAAACCACGTGGACGACATCGCCTCCACCCTATTCTTCATTCTCATCCTCCACTCCATCCTCATCCCAGTCACCTACCTCCCTCTGAACGGCTCAAAGTATATGTATATGTGTACAACTCCTGCTTTTAATGTGACCAGAAATCCCTTTTCGTTATATTTTTATCCCACTTTGTAATCAATAAACCCCTTTTCTTTAACTCAACCCCATCAGAGTCGTGTTGTTAGATCTCGGTATATCCCTGGCCGATTTACGAATTAACTACCTTTTGATTATAAGACTGACTCGAGGCAAAGTTGGTTTTGGATCTGTGCAGACCTTTTCAACTCTGCTGGTGCCCTAAAATTAAAACAGATCCCCCACTCGAATAGGACGGCCAGCCTCTGACTTGGAGACTAGCCGTACTATTCTGCTCATAACATAATCTGTAGTATTATTACCCTACACCTGTGTGTGTGTGTGTGTTTTTGTGTTTTTAATAAGGCTTTCTTTGTATGAACATATTCCTGGAAAATTTTCATTTATTCTATAAATAATACGAATATTTATATAAATATTATTACATTAGTTATGAGGCAGGGTGACCAATAGTGACGGATCTGCCAGCCAATCACGAGAGATTATACTTATTTGAAAGTAGTGATTTCATCCAATGGGGAGTAATCCCACGTGGGCTGGCCACGTGTGATTTTTCAGCCAATCACGAGTTTGAAAGTAGTGGTATCCGCCAATGCTGAATAGCAGCCTGGCCAGCCGCTGCATTCATATGCTAATTAGGGCCATTAGCGCTCGGCGGCCGCAGTGTTTCGCTGCATTCATATGCAAAGTAGGGACATTAGCATGGTACGGATGCGGCAGTTTGGAGGACAGGGCACCCTAACTGCGGGTTCTGAAAACTGCCTGAGATACCCGAAAAAGAGCGTGATTTCCTGCAGTTTAGGGTGACGAAAATCTAACTTTTCATGCAGTGTTGTTGATTCATGACAAAAAATTAAATGTTATATCTTTATGTTTGAAGCCTGAAATGTGAAAAGTGTTCAAGGGGTCCGAATACTTTCGCTTCCCTGTATATGTACAATAAAGTGACAATAATTATGTACAACAAAAGTGACAAGTGTCAATTGGAAACAGTGTCAATAGTAGTGCAGGTTTTCACACAGTGATAATTTAAAGTGACTTATTGTACAGTCTGACAGCGGTGGGGATAAAGGCCCTGCGGTAGCGCTCCTTCCTACACTGAGGGTGCCTCAGTCTTCCACTGAAGGAGCTCCTCAGCTCCTCCTCAGTCCTGTGCAGTGGGAGGTGTTGTTCATGATGGAGGTGGCTTTGGCTAGCACCTCCTGTCCCTCACCTCCTCCACAGAGTCCAAGGGCCTCCTGTCCCTCACCTCCTCCACAGAGTCCAGGGGCCTCCTGTCCCTCACCTCCTCCACAGAGTCCAGGGGCCTCCTGTCCCTCACCTCCTCCACAGAGTCCAGGGGCCTCCTGTCCCTCACCTCCTCCACAGAGTCCAGGGGCCTCCTGTCCCTCACCTCCTCCACAGAGTCCAGGGGCCTCCTGTCCCTCACCTCCTCCACAGAGTCCAGGGGCCTCCTGTCCCTCACCTCCTCCACAGAGTCCAAGGGCCTCCTGTCCCTCACCTCCTCCACAGAGTCCAGGGGCCTCCTGTCCCTCACCTCCTCCACAGAGTCCAGGGGCCTCCTGTCCCTCACCTCCTCCACAGAGTCCAGGGGCCTCCTGTCCCTCACCTCCTCCACAGAGTCCAGGGGCCTCCTGTCCCTCACCTCCTCCACAGAGTCCAGGGGCCTCCTGTCCCTCGCCTCCTCCACAGAGTCCAGGGGCCTCCTGTTCCTCACCTCCTCCACAGAGTCCAGGGGCCTCCTGTCCCTCACCTCCTCCACAGAGTCCAGGGGCCTCCTGTCCCTCGCCTCCCCCACAGAGTTCAGGGGCCTCCTGTCCCTCACCTCCTCCACAGAGTCCAGGGGCCTCCTGTCCCTCGCCTCCTCCACAGAGTCCAGGGGCCTCCTGTCCCTCACCTCCTCCACAGAGTCCAGGGGCCTCCTGTCCCTCACCTCCTCCACAGAGTCCAGGGGCCTCCTGTCCCTCACCTCCTCCTGACCAGCTTGTTCAGTCTGTTTCTGTCCCGCTCTGTGCTGCCCGGGGCCCAGCACACGGCAGCGTAGTAAATGGCAGAAGCTACCACAGAGTCATAAAAAGTCCTGAGCAGAGGCCTGCTCACTCCGAAGGACCTCAGCCTCCTCAGAAGGACCTCAGTCTCCTCAGAAGGACCTCAGCCTCCTCAGAAGGACCTCAGCCCCCTCAGAAGGACCTCAGCCTCCTCAGAAGGACCTCAGTCTCCTCAGAAGGACCTCAGCCTCCTCAGAAGGACCTCAGCCCCCTCAGAAGGACCTCAGCCTCCTCAGAAGGACCTCAGCCTCCTCAGAAGGACCTCAGCCTCCTCAGAAGGACCTCAGTCTCCTCAGAAGGACCTCAGTCTCCTCAGAAGGACCTCAGCCTCCTCAGAAGGACCTCAGCCTCCTCAGAAGGACCTCAGCCTCCTCAGAAGGACCTCAGCCTCCTCAGAAGGACCTCAGTCTCCTCAGAAGGACCTCAGCCTCCTCAGAAGGACCTCAGCCTCCTCAGAAGGACCTCAGCCTCCTCAGAAGGACCTCAGCCTCCTCAGAAGGAAGAGGCGACTTTGGCCCTTCTTGTGCAGGGCGTTTGTATTATGGACCAGTCCAGTTTATTGTTAATGTGAACACCCAGGTACTTGAAGCTGTCACCAGCTCAATGTCCTCCCCCTGGATGTTCAGCAGCGTGTGGGAAAGTGGTTTTCTCCTGAAGTCGATGACCGTCTCCTTGGTCTTACTGGTGTTCAAGCACAAGTGGTTGCGCTCACACCAGTCGACAAAGTCCTTGATAACCGACCGATATTCCAGTTCGTTCCCCTCAGACACACAGCCCACGATGGCGGAGTCGTCGGAGAACTTCTGCAGGTGACAGCTGTGTGTGTCGTGTGTGAAGTCTGAGGTGTAGATGGTGAAGAGAAACGGTGAGAGGACAGTGCCCTGAGGGGCCCCAGTGCTGCAGACGACCACCTCAGACTCACAGCTGCAGCCGCACGTACTGTGGTCGGTCTGAGAGGTAGTTGATGGTCCATGCAGTGAGGTAGTCGATGGTCCATGCAGTGAGGTAGTTGATGGTCCATGCAGTGAGGTAGTTGATGGTCCATGCAGTGAGGTAGTTGATGGTCCATGCAGTGAGGTAGTTGATGGTCCATGCAGTGAGGCTACTGTCCACTCCCGCGTCCTCCATCTTCCCCTGCAGCAGTGCCGGCCTGATGGTATTGAAAGCGCTGGAGAAGTCAAAAACATGACCCTCACAGCGCCCCCTGCAGGCTCCAGGTGGGAGAGCGTCCGCTGCAGGAAGTAGATGACGGCGTCCTCTACTCCGATGTTGGGTCTGTAGGCGAACTGCAGCGGGTCCAGGGTGGGGCTGACCACGGAGCGGAGATGGGTGAGGATGAGCCGCTCCATGGTCTTCATCAGGTGGGAGGTCAGTGCTCCATGGTCTTCATCAGGTGGGAGGTCAGTGCTCCATGGTCTTCATCAGGTGGGAGGTCAGTGCTCCATGGTCTTCATCAGGTGGGAGGTCAGTGCTCCATGGTCTTCATCAGGTGGGAGGTCAGTGCTCCATGGTCTTCATCAGGTGGGAGGTCAGTGCTCCATGGTCTTCATCAGGTGGGAGGTCAGTGCTCCATTGTCTTCATCAGGTGGGAGGTCAGTGCGACTGGTCTGTAGTGAGCCGGTTCCTTGGCGTGTGCTGTTTTTGGAACCGGGATCACACAGGAGGTCTTCCACAGGACAGGGACCTTCTCCAGGCTGAGGCTCAGGTTGTACATGTAGCTGAGGACCCCAGAGAGCTGGTCTGCACAGGTCCTCAGCAGCCTGGGACTGATCCCGTCCGGTCCTGCGGATTTCCTCAGCTTCATACTGCTTCTGTCTGGAGGGGCCTACGGGAGATCACCAACTACAAACCCAAAGCCCCCCCCTGTGCTGATGACCACAAGCTAGCTGACGATCTGAACTTATTTTTCAGTCGCTTTGATGCTGCCCCTGACACCTCTCCCTCCCCCACCCCCCACTACTCTAACGACCCACCCATCAGCCCTGCCCCCAGCCTAACAATAGCCGCTAAAGAGATTAAACAACTCTTCCTGAGGCTGCACCCCCGCAAAGCTCCTGGCCCGGACCACGTGTCTCCGGCCACTCTGAGACACTGCGCCAGTGAGCTTACTCCTGTGTTCACGGACATTTTCAACTCCTCTCTGCAGTCCTGCCATGTCCCGGCCTGCTTCAAATCCTCCATCATTGTCCCCGTCCCGAAGAAGCCCAGGATCACAGGACTCAATGACTACAGACCTGTAGCACTTACGTCTGTCGTCATGAAGTCATTTGAACGCCTGGTTCTCTCCCATCTCAAGTCCCTCACCTCCCCCCTCCTGGACCCCCTGCAGTTCGCCTACAGAGCCAACAGATCTGTAGACGACGCCATTAACCTGGCCCTCCACCACATCCTACAGCACCTGGACTCCCCGGGGACCTACGCCAGGGTCCTGTTCGTGGACTTCAGCTCTGCCTTCAACACAATCCTGCCATCCCTGCTCCAGGACAAGCTCTCCCAGCTCAACGTGCCCGATTCCACCTGCAGGTGGATCACTGACTTCCTGACGGACAGGAAGCAGCGAGTGCGTCTGGGGAAGAATGTCTCGGACTCTCGGATTATAAATACAGGAGCCCCACAGGGCTGTGTTCTTTCTCCCCTGCTCTTCTCCCTGTACACCAACCACTGCACCTCCAGCCACGACTCCGTGAAGCTGATCAAGTTCGCGGACGACACCACCCTCATTGGACTCATCTCCAACAACGATGAGTCCGCCTACAGGAGGGAGGTGGACCGGCTGGTGTCCTGGTGCAGTGGTAACAACCTGGAGCTGAACGCCCAGAAGACAGTGGAGATGATTGTGGACTTCAGGAAGAGCACTGTCCCCCCGCCCCCACCCTCCGTGATGGACTCCCCCATCACCTCTGTGGAGTCCTTCCGTTTCCTGGGCACCACCATCACCCAGGACCTCAAGTGGGAGCCGACCATCAGCTCCCTCATCAAGAAGGCCCAGCAGAGGATGTACTTCCTGCGGCAGCTCAGGAAAGCCAAGCTGCCTGCACAGATGTTGGTGCAGTTCTACACGGCCATCATCGAGTCCATCCTCACCTCCTCCATCACCGTGTGGTTCGCTGGAGCCACAGTCAGGGACAAACAGAGACTACAGCGCATTGTGCGCTCTGCAGAGGAAGTGATCGGCCGCAGCCTTCCATCGCTGCAGGACCTGTACGTCGCCCGAGCTCGAGGCCGGGCTGGTCGTATCACAGCCGACCCCTCTCACCCTGCACATGGACTATTCCAACCACTCCCCTCAGGCAGGAGGCTGCGGTCCATCAGGACTAGAACCTCCCGCCACAAGAACAGTTTCTTCCCCTCTGCTGTTGGACTCTTGAACACTTCTTAACCTGTCCCCCCGCCCTTTATAAAGTCACTTTACTGCCCATCATACGTCACTTTACTTCACTGTACTGCTGTCACCTTACATTGTGTGCACCATGTGCACTTGTATATTGTAAATAGTAACTGTAACTCTATTTTAAATTTAAATTTATTCTTTAGAAGTGTTTTTTATTCTTATTTTTATTATCTCTTTTTGACTGTTGCACTGAGCCAAAGCAATTTCCAAGTCTGTGACCTCCCGTTACTTACGTTGGCAATAAAAATGATTCTGATTCTGATTCTGATTCTGATTCAGTCGCTGGAGCTGACTCCTCACCTGGTCCGGTGTGATGGAGAGGGGGGGGGACTGGGGTGTACTGTCCGAGGTGGGGGCTGGGGATGCGGGGGCAGGAGGGCCCGGGGCAGCCGGAGGCGGTGTCCACTGGCGGTGTCCACTGGGCTGGGGACGTGTGAAGAGGTGGGGGCGGGAGGGGGGGGCAGATGGAGAGGGGGGAGAATCAAACCGGTTGAAGTGCTGGTTAAATTCATCCGCCCGGTGCTGGTCTCCATCTGCTGTTCCTCTGGCACTCTGTCCAAAGCCGGAGATGTTCTTTAGGCCTCTCCACCCGTCGCGGGCGTTTCCCTGGGCCAGCTTCTGCTCCTCTTTTTCCCATAGTCCTTCTTGGCCCTCCTGATCCTCCACTGGAGAATAAAATAATTTAATAAAAAACAACAACGTAGAAAAATTGAATGTCTTTTGTTTTTGAAAAGTCTTTAAGATGGTCCAATCAGAGCTGTGTTTTTGGATGTTCAAACAGTGGACACTAAAATCAGTAGAATGGCGCCATCTGGAGGTTGTTTAACGGATCTGAAATCATGGAAATACATGGAAATAAATGGTCCCCTGAGAACCACGGTAAAGTGGCTTGCATCTTTCAGCTCTATGAACAAGCGGCCCGCATCGGGGAAAAGACGGTGCGCATTTTGTCGGAGTCACCCTTTTTTATTCAACAGAAAGTGCGTTGGGGTCTGGGAGACACGTTTTTGTGATTAAAACTTTATCGAGATGCAACCCGGTACACATAGCACCAGCTTCCTACGATTCCTCCTGCAGGTTGTGAGTCCACAGGAGGATAGCCGCTCTATTGTGTACTATTGTTTACATATATAAAGTACACAATTTGGTCCGCAAGTGCAATATTCAACAATTGTAACCCCAACCCCCCCTCGTTTAGCCAACCTCCTCCCTAACCCATCACCAAGAACCCCTCCACCTCCACTCCCCCCTCGTCCATCTCCCAACTTGCCCCTCCCCTAACACCCATCCACCTCCAACCCCCCCTTGTAAGAACCACCCACCTCTCCATCCTCCTCCCCTGCCTTCCCCTTCCCCTCTTTTCTCTAAACACTAGGATGCACAGGGTCTCTGCTTCGCAGCCACTGGCAGTCTAGTTAGAGGAGAGACCCGGCTGGGGCCCTGTCATGAAGCCACCTGTGCCATTCCCTTAGTGATAACACAAAGAATACATTACAGAAAAACATCTGGAGTTAATCAGTCTAATCTGGAAAATCTAATTCTTGTTCCGTGTAAGAATCAGCCGACCACAACCACTGATACTGAAACTTTGAAACTTGCTACGCTTAATGTCAGATCTCTTTGTAACAAGTCTTTTTTAATCAATAATTAGGCCCGAGCCCCAACCGGGGTAAGGACCTATTGCTTTTCCCATACTATAGATTGTAACTGTCATAAGTGCACCTGCACGCGACGGCACGTGCCCAGACACTGATAAATCCGTGCCGGAGGCACGGAATGGCTTTATTCCTGCTGTAGTACACAGTGAAATGATTGGTCCTTTAAAAGGGGTGGGTTACTTCATCTGTCCGGACATTCGTCCCCCAAGCCCGACGGCGCGTGCCCAGACACTGATAAAACAGTGCCGGAGGCACTGAATGGCTTTGCTCCTGCTGTAGTACACAGTGTAATCAATGGGGTCCTATGGGGGGGGTGGGTGACCTCATGATAGCGAGGTGATTGACGAGCGCTGATGCGCTCGTCAATCACCGAGAACCCAATAGTTGCGTTCGCCTTGTCGTTCGCTTTAAAAAGATGTATCATTTGTATTATAGGTTACTATGGAAACCTATATTGTTTTTGCTCGAAGATTTAAAAAAAAAATTCCTTGGTTTCTTTCTTTCTTTCTTTCTTTTTTCTTCTGCACTTTGAACCTTAATTTGACCCCTGAACATTGATGAAAAGTTGTGAAATTTTGCCCAAAATTCAGAACCGGCGAAAAATTTATTTTTTTGGGTGTTTTTTACTGCAAATGGCAAATAAACTGAATCTGAATCTTTTTGATGGGACAAAACAAATGCCCAAACAGCGCCCCCTACAAAAGTCAGTTTACATTGCGCCTATGGGAGGGGGTCGGAGGTCAAGTTTGTCGTAGAGCCACGAAACTCGGTACACATGTTCCTCAAGTCAAGACATGAAAAAAAAGTTATTATGGCTCCGCCCCCTGACAAACAGGGAGCTCATTAATGTCAATGGGAAATGGAAAAATGAAAATTGATATTTTTCACACATGTTGGTTGGAAATTATCTCCTCCTCGGCCGTTTCACCGATTTGTCTCAAAATCGCTCCACATGGTCTAAACCCATGTCCCATCTATTATTGAATATAGAATTTGGATCAATTAAACGTTGTCCGAGCAGCGGAGCGGCAAAATTTTTGACAAAAGTAAATTTGCTCCCGTTTGCACAAACAAAGCCGGATTTGCACAACATTTTAATCCATTGTTCAGCTCCAGGGTCTAGGTCATTTGAAAGTAGAAATATTGAAATTGGCTCATGAGCGCCCCCTACAGACTATGTCAAAGTTTTACATGGGCCTAATAAAAATTAGTTTTCTCAAAATGTTTGAAATTTTGCACATAATTCTGTTTTGTCATTTGGATTCAAAAAGTCAATGACAACATATGATTTTTTTTTACCCTGTTGCCGTGGCGACGACCAGCACTCCCCTGTCTGTGTTTATGGGAAAATCGTTAAATCTCTTAAAAGTACACCTCGCTCAAACATCAAACCTGCCTCGGCCTTTTCACTAATTTGGCTGAAAATCGCTCCACATCGTCTCAACACATGGACCATCAATAGTTGCATATAGAATTTGAATTAGTCAAACGGTCTGAGAGTGACAGACTCCCAAAATGTGGTTATTTTCATAGAGAGGTGTGAAGTTCCCATGTTATTCAATGGAGACTGTATGGACACACTCACAGATTGTATGGGCAAACAGGAGCACATTTACAAACTCTGATTTGCACTAAACTTGACTCTGTTGTTCAACTCCTAGGTCTAGGTCACATGACATTGTGAACAATGACATTGGCCCATTAGCGCCCCCTACAGGCTGAGTAAAGGTTTACATGGGGATACAGGTATTTAGGTTTTCTGTTGTTTGATCTCATATTTGACCCACTGAACAAACACAAAAACTCACCAAACTTTGCAACAAGTTTTTTTCAGGCATAAAGTGTTATTTTGGTGTTCTTTGGTATAAGACTAAAAAAAATTAATTGTAGGGGGCGCTGTTGTACAACATTAAATGCCACCATTTGCACACACAAAGTCCGATTTGCACAAAATTTGAATTGATTGTTCAACTCTCGGGTTTGGGTAAACTGAAAGTGTAAAAGACGAAATTGCAGCAATAGCGCCCCCTACAGACTGAGTCAAGTATTAATCAGAATCAGAATCAGAATCATTTTTATTGCCACGTAAGTAACAGGAGGTCACAGACTTGGAAATTGCTTTGGCTCAGTGCAACAGTCAAAAAGAGATAATAAAAATAAGAATAAAAAACACTTCTAAAGAATAAATTTAAATTTAAAATAGAGTTACAGTTACTATTTACAATACACAAGTGCACATGGTGCACACAATGTAAGGTGACAGCAGTACAGTGAAGTAAAGTGACGTATGATGGGCAGTAAAGTGACTTTATAAAGGGCGGGGGGACAGGTTAAGAAGTGTTCAAGAGTCCAACAGCAGAGGGGAAGAAACTGTTCTTGTGGCGGGAGGTTCTAGTCCTGATGGACCGCAGTCTCCTGCCTGAGGGGAGTGGTTGGAATAGTCCATGTGTAACGAGGGGGGGGATATAAAGGTGTTTGA